AGTGAGAAAGTGAGAAAGTGAGAAAGTGAGAAAGTGAGAAAGTGAGATAGAGAGGCAAAAGTGTGGATGGAGAAATTCCAGAGTTTGGGATCCAGGAACCTGAAGGCATGATCATTCAGACTCTACTCCATACTGTGAAAAATAAACAGTATTTACTATTTCATGTTGCCTTCTGAACAGAATGGGAAATAAGTATTTTGATAGCTACACTGGGAACTGAAAATTCTTTTTCCAAAAGTATGCCTTATTCATAAAGTTTGTGAAAGTACAATATATAGTTAATTCTGGGCTCTTATGTAAATCAATATCACAGGTTATATTTACAGTATACATGCATATTTCATGTCAAGTATTCACGTGGCATGAAGACCTTAGATCCTGACATTTCTCCAACAAGCCTCTGTGACAACTTCCCAAGTTTTAATGCATCACTCAGCCAATAGTCCTGAACCTTGGAATGTGCAAGTTGCAATACTTGGTCAAAACAGCTCATTGCATTGGAAGACCAACAAGTTTCAGGCAAACTAAAGAGTGAATTTCAACAAGTTGAAAATCCTTTGATATCAGTAAATGTTTATTGTGATGTACACTGCAGGGGGGATGGTGGTCTAGAGTTAGAGTTAATGCCCCTGAACTAATAGTACAGAGCCCATTCTAATGCTCTGGGGATACAGGTTCAAAATTCCTGCAATTGAAAGTTAATTTCTGTGATGGTGCCATCATGTTACCACTAACTGTTGCAAAAACAAAGCTCATCTGGTTCACAAAGCCCCTTTTGGGAGGAAATCGGTGATTTTTACCTAGTCTGACCTACACGGAACTCAAGATCCAGAGTGATGTAGTTGATTCTTAACTGCCCCCCACACCCGGAAATGGCAGAGCGAGCTAATCAGTTCAAGAGCAATGAGGAACGGACAACACGTGCTGACCTTTCTCAACTGATATCGACATCCCACGAAAGAATGAAGGAAAGGATCTCTGGATAGTCCATAGAGCACCAATGCTTGTGTTGTGGAGCTGCTCAAGATGAACTCTCAAGAAAAAAAAAAAATCTTTCCTGCTTTGTCAGGGCACTTTCCATCACGACAGCAACCTTGAGAGCAGTGTGCGCATAGGTTATGAGACGCCTGAGCACATAGGAAGGATTTGACAAGGAGAGTCCTTCGCACTGCCATCCAAGCTGACTGTTGATGTGAGTTTGAAAGTCCTACTGATGAGGCATTCTGCTAAATGACTTTCTCAGTCTGTTCAGAGAACCATCTGATAGAATGCACCGGCTCCTTCCCTGGTGGGCATCATGTACTTTCACTGCTTGATGGAATTATGGTGAAAAGGTGTATCACTGCATAAATCCTCCAAGGGACACATGGTTCGGCGCTCACTGCCTGGAGTATTATGGCTACTTGGACCCATCGTTTACAACGCCAGGGACAGATAGAACCTCAACACGTAGAGGCACTTGGCGTTTGTTTATTGTGGAGCTAGGCATGGTTTGATGCTGCCATACTCAAAAGAGGCCATCATGGTGCGGTTGATGTTTCTCCCCATTTATCTAGAGTTTGTACATTGTGCCTATTCATGATTTCCAGATGAAGTGGAAGGTAACTTGGTTGCACACCATGCTACAGCAGTGGGGCATGGGCCAAACCTGGAGCAGGCAGCAAGAGTGCCTCACAGCAGATAACCAGGCTCTGGCAATAATGTGATAACCAGCATTTGACCAGTTTCTGTTGTACTCCTTCCAGATCTTAACACGTGCAGTGTCTCCTCTAAACCATATTGTCAACATCTTCAAGTAATGTGGTCTGTAGAAGGGGTCAAAAGGATTGTTTGTCAGTGCACAAGGAGAATGACATTTTTCTTGTCCAAGATTGGCTCCTGACACCCGTTCAAACTGGTTAAAGGTGTGGATCAGGCTACACACTGACACTGGATCCAGCAGAGGATGGCTGTCATTCATGTACAGGGAGGTGACAACCCGAGTGGATCATTAATCCTCTTACGCCTGCATGCTTGCCGAGGGACTCGGAAAAGGGTTTGCTGGAGCACACGAACAAGATAGAAGACAGGACAGCACTGCCTGGCTCCAGATTTGATTGGAAGATTTTCCAATTCTCACCCATGATTGAAATGGGCTGCTGTAAGCGCCCAGCAGTTGGATCCAGTTGAGGGTTACTTCCACACTGGAGAGTGAAAGCTTCATTAAAAACAAAAGGCATGTGAAAAAGGATGGGAAAAGTGGCCTTCTCAAAAGCGAACAGTGGGGTCCAGACCCGAAACGTCAGCTTTCCTGCTCAGCCTTCTGTGTTCATCCAGCTCCACACCTTGTTATCTCAGACTCTAGCATCGGCAGTTCCTACTATCTCAGGGTACCCATATTTTGTATGAATAGCAATAAATTAAGTACAGTCATAGCAAGATTTGATTATTGGATTACAAAATAATAGTTAGATTTTAAAATGTTATTTTATCACAGGGGAATCCAAACTACAAAACTAAGACAAAAGTGAGCCAAAGTGCGCACAGTATCTGGTCTATAAATCTCTAGGGATTCAATCTCCTGCAGTCTTTTGTGAAATGGAGTGGCCTTGGCATGGTGTATTAAAAGAGTTAATTACTTTATCCATATTTGGTGACGCAACATTAATTGTTAATTTAAGATAATATAATCCGGGCATTCAGCAATTTACATTGCAATTCTTTCTATGTGACTCTCAAATACAAAAAAAGGTACTCCTCAGTTATTAAAATAACCTTTCCAAAAAAACCGTATCTGATCTAATTCTAGAACTATTACAAGAGAAATTAGGAATGAGAAAACCTTTTGCTTCCCTCCAAGCATGATGTAATTCTACTTCCTGAACCCATGTTCCTGGCCAGTCTCCCAGCCACACCTCCATAAACTTGAGGTCATCCAAATTCCAGCTGCCATGTCCCAAATCCCATCAAGTCCTGTATATCCATCATCTGTATACTCACCGACCTACACTTGGTCCTAGTTACAATTTTACAATTGCCATCCTCATTTTTAAATGCTTTCCACAGTTTTGCCCTAATTCCCCCATCACAAATCTCCATCAGCTACCTCCCTCCCAGGTGAAAGATAAAGTTGCTATGGTCATAGAATCCCTATAGTATGGAAGCAGGCCAT